AGGCCATCATGCCATTTTACACATCCAAGTCCAAATTCTTTTGGATGTCTCACTCTGTTGCCCAGACTGGAGTGCAGTGGCACACTCATAGCCACCCTGCTGGGTTCCAGCAATCCTTCCACCTCAGTCTTCCAAGTAGCTGGAACTATAGGCATGCGCTATCATGCCTGGCTCATTTTTTGTTTTATTGTAGAGATGAGGTCTCGCCAAGTTGCCCGGGCTGGTCTCGAACCCATGGACTAAAGCAATCCACTCATCTCGGCTTCCCAAAGTGTTGGGATTACAGGCTGAGCCACCAATCCCAGCCTCAAATTCTTAATTAAACAACAACAAAATTTCCCATAAACTGCTATTTGAAGTTTAAACACAGCCCTTTAAACACCTAATTTTAAGCAAATTATCACAGATATTGTCATAAACATATTAATTCTTTCAGTGAGTGTCTTTTCTCTTACTTTCTTAAAAAAATAATTGATCTCTAACCATTCACTATAGGTAGTGTAGTATAGTAAAAAGGGCTTTAGAGTGGGATTAATCCAAATTGGAATCAAGCTCTGCCAGCCATTAGCTATGTGATCCTTGGTTGTCTATTTTAGCCTCAGTTTTTTCTCTCTTTTGTAAGTTGAGATTTATAATATTTGCCTACTTATGATTTTGTGATGATTACATGGAATAATATTTGCAAAAGCCACTAGCAAAGTGTTTGGTAGATAGCAAATGCTCTGTAAACATTTGTAATTATTATCAGAGTATAGTGGGAAAGAAGGCAAGAAAGACCCAGAGAAGAATCAGATAGAGGCTTTAACTTTGGTGCTCACTGGAGGCATTTCTGCAATGCCAAACCTGACTGCTTTCCTTGGCCCCTTGAGTTTGGTTGAAGGCTCAGACACTTCTCCCTGGAGGGTATACTGTGAAGCTGTACTAAACTTAAGTCTTGTTAAGTACCTGGTCTGTCCTTCTAGTCTTCTCCACTTTACTCTAGCCAGGCTTGTTAGGCATATTGGAAGAATGACTATAATGGCTACATGTAAGAATCATCTGAGGAGCTTTTAAAATAATACCCATCCTCATATACTGCTGGTAAGTGTAAAATAGTATAGTCATTTTAAAAAACAATGTTCCTCAGAAAAGTGTGACACAGCAACTCTACTCCTAGGCATATACCCAAGAAAACAGAAAACATTTGTGTCCACACAAAAATCCTTGTACATGAATGTGCATAGCAGCATTATTGATAATGGCCAAAAAGTGGAAATAACTCAAATGCCTATCACCTGATGAACTGATAAATAAAATGTGGTATATTTATATAATGGAATCCTAGTTAACCATAAAAAGCAATGTACTGATACATGCTATAACATGGATGAACCTTGAAAATATTACGCTAAATGAAAGAAGCCAGAGACAAAAGGTTGCATATTGTATGATTCTGTTTATATGATACGACCAGAATAGGCAAATCCACAGAGGTAGAAATTAGTAGCTGCGAGGCACTGGTGGCAGGAGAAATAGGAAATTACTGCTGATGGGTATGAGGCTTCATTTTAGGATATGGAACATTTTCTGCAGTTAGATAGTGGCAAATGGTTGCACAACTTTATGAATATACTAAAAAAAACTCCACTGAGTTATATACTTAAAAAAAGAATCCCAGGGGCGGTGGGGGGTACATCGTTTCTGGAGGTACTACAATACCAGGTCAATGTATGGAATAGACAGAGTAAACGCCTATTCCACTGCCTCAAAAATTTATTTAGTATATTGTTGTCAGATATAAGGCATATCAGACTGATAAGAACATATACTAGGCCACTGCTTTGTTAAACTCTGGTGTGTTCATGTAACTCTCTGAGCTATGGCTGCCATGTTTCCTAGCCTTGGCCCATTCCCCTACCTTGGGAGGTGAATGTCTCCTCTCTCTTCTAATTTACTTTCTTAAAAAACTATATTTTCCAATTCAAAACAAACAAACAGATATTATTCTTCACCTTAGCCAAAATGCCGGAAGCAAAGAATTATATACTTTAAAAGTATAAATATTATGGTATTTGAATTATATCTCAATAAGAAAATTATATTGAAAAACCCACCGAATCATACACTAAAAATTTATTTATTTATTTTCTTTTTTAGGTTCTTCTGATAAATCATATACCTTTATTTATTTATTTATTTTTATTTTTTAGAGACAGGGTCTTGCTCTGTTGCCTAGGTTGGAGTGTAGTAGTGCCATCACAGCTCACTGCAGCCTTCAACTCCCAGGCTCAAGTAATTCTTCCACTTCAGCCTCCCGAGTAGCTGGAACCACAGGCACATGCCACCTTGCCCAGCTAACTAAAAAAATTTTTTTGTAGAGATGGGGTCTCACTTTGTTGCCTGGGCTTGTTTTGAACTCCTGTCCTCCAGTGATCATCCTGCCTTAGCTGCCCAAAGTTGCTGAGATTACAGGTGTGAGCCACTGTGCCCAGCCAAATCATATACTTTTAAAAGGTAAATTTTGTAGTATATTAATTATATTTCAATTTAAAATAATAATACACATACCTGGACCCTACCTCAGAATCAGAGAGTCTAATTTTTTATTTTATTTTATTTTTTGAGTCAGGGTTTCACTGTTGGCCAGGCTGGAGTGCAGTGGCATGATCACAGCTCACCACAGTTTTGAACTCCTGGGTTCAAGCAATCTTTTCCGCTCAGGCTCTCGAGTAGCTGGGACTACAGGCACACACCACTACACATAGCAAATTTTAAAAAATTCTTTTGTAGAGATGAGGTCTTGTTATATTGCCTAAGCTGATCTCAAACTCCTGGGCTCAGGCAATCCTCCCACTTCAGCCTTCCGAAGTGCTAGGATCAGAGACTCTGATTTAAGTGAGAAGGACTCATGCAAGAATTAAAAGACATTATGAGCTGGGCACAGAGGCTCATGCCAGTAATCCCAGCACTTTGGGAGGCAGAGGCGAGAAGATTGCCTGAGCCCAGGGGTTCAAGACCAGCTTGGGCAACTTGGCACAACCTTGTCTCTACAATTAACTGGGTGTGGTAGCATAACCCTATGGTTCCAGCGACTTGAAAGGCTGAGCAAAAGGATCACCTGAGCCCAGTAGGTTGAGGCTATGGTGGCTGTAAGTGTGCCACTGCACTATAGCCTGGGCAACAGAGTAAGACTCCTACTTGCCCCCACAAAGACATTATAATGAAACTGGGAAGACAAGCTACAGAATGAGACAACATGCTTATGACACAAATAACTGACAAAAGACTCCAGAATATACAAATTGATAAGGAAAAGACAGACTATCCCCAAATGAGGAAAACACCCAAACTGGAATTCCCAAAAGAGGGAATCTAAATGATAAGTTAAAAATAGGAAAAAATATTCAATTTCATTTTCAATCAGGGAAATGCAAATTAACACCACAATGAGATATAATTAAACATCTCCAGATTGGTTAGAGGACAAAGATCAATGGGATTGTTCATAAACTGCTTGTGGGAATGTACACCACTTTGAAAAAGAATTGGCATTATTTAGTGAAATTGAAAATATGCATTTCCTCTAACCACAACCATTTCACAACTAGGTATATATTCTAGAGAAAGCATGTGCTCTATATTGAAAAGCAGTATAAGATAAGCACACTTGCAGCTGCATTGTTCAGACAGCTACAAAATAAAACACCCCAATTATCCATTGACAAGAGAATGGACCAATAAACTGTGGTCTATTCCTATGATGAAACACTAGCAAATAAAAATGAAGAAAACTACAGCCAAACACAAAAACATAAATGGAACTCAAAAACATAATACCGATCAAAAGAATCAAGACACAAAAGAAAATATGCAGTGTGTTTCTATTCATGCAAAGTTCAAAAACAGGTGAAAATTAAGTTATATGGTTTAGGGATGAATACATAGGTGCCAAAACTATAACAAAGAACAAGAAAGTGATTAGCATAAAAGTCAAAATAATAGTTGTGATTGTGATTAGAAAGGTGCACAGGGGATTTAAAATAAAAAAAAGAAAAAAGAAAAAAAGAAAGGTGCACAGGGGTTTTATGGGATGCTACGTTGTTCTATTTCTTGATCTGAGTGGTGGATTATAAGGGTGCTTCTTTATACTCTATGCATTTAGGTTTTATGCATTTTTTTGTATAGTGCCATTTTTCACAATAAAAAAGGTTTAACTATTCTTTTAGTGAGGAAAAAAGGCTATAAATGATCTAATGTAAAGCTGGGGTTGAGAACTAATACATTAAAGGAAAGTTCATCAGAAGTATATTTGTACATACATTAATAAATGCACAAAACAAGAAAAAACAACCTAAATATTCTAAACTGTTGACAGTGGATATCTCAGTGGGGAGGGAGGGAGAGAGAGAGAGAGAGAGAGAGAGAGAGAGAGAGAGAGTGTGTGGGGGGGTTATTATGTATATTAAGTTAGAGGGACCCTTATGTTCTATCTTCTTGTATTAATATCTAAAAGTAATAATGAGCAAGTATTAATTTTAATAAAAGAAACAGATTTTACAATTTCCCTGGAAGGATACACAAAAAAACTAATAAAATCAGTTACTTTGGGAAAACAAAATGGAAGGGGGTATTTTCACTGTATCATTTAAACTGATGTGATAGTATTAATTATTAAAAATTTTATTTAAAATAAGAATATTTGTCTCTGGCAGCTTTTCTCAGAGCCCACTGCCACAGAGAACACATTAGCAGCCTTTGAAACTGGCCCAAGAGTATCCTTCCATGCATTAGGTTCTTCCACATGCCCCACTTTCCACTACCACAGCACTGGGACATCAACCCTGTAGAAAAACAAGCGATCCTCTCAGAAGAGAACTCACATTTCACAGGTATGAAGTGGTGTATTTGTCATTGCCCTCTGCCTAAATCTGAGTCCATTATACTTGCTAGGTAGCAAAATGAATTATTTCCCTGTATTTAGACTGCTACAGCGGAACAATAAAGAAGCAAGAATTAATTACCTCTAAGAGGAGCTCCACACTATCAACCTGCAGCTCTCGCAGTCCCACTATCTGTACCACATGCTTGCTATCTTCTCTTGCGAAGAGCCTGCAAATGCAAGAACACAGTTACTATGGCAGCGTTGCTATAAAAAACTTTATTCTTGCCTTCCTAGAAACCATTCTACCACTCCCCCATTAAGTAGCAGTTTTGCTGTTTGAGTGGGATGGATGCTTATCCTCCCTACAACCCCCACCCTCCTAATCTCAGCCCCAGAATGCAGGAGTGGTCATTGATTATTGCACACAAATCAGCATCTCTGACTGCAATGGAAAGAATGAGCGCAAAAACTAAACCTATGCCAATCAGCAGATGGTGTGTTCCTGGCTACAGTGATTGCTTCGGGGTGGATATGGGATCTCTGCTGATTAAATCAAAATAAAGTCCTGGTCTCTGGTTGTTAGGTGCCTGGTGGTGTGGTACTCTCCCTTTCTCTCTGTAAGTGAAAGTATGTGGCCCTGGGAGCAGTGGCAGCATTCTGTATCTACAAAGAGAGCTAGTTTTAGGATGAAGGTAATACAGAAAGTAGAACAGAGAGATGCAAAGAAACTTGGTCCTTATTACATTCCTGAGCTGCTGGAGTAAACCAACCCTGAAGCCTAACTCTTCTTTAGGTTTTCCAGTTATTTAAGCCAATGATTTCTTCAAATGCTTAAGCCTGTATAAATGGGTTTTATTTTGTTTGCTACATAAGGAGTCCTAGTATATCTCCTAAGGAAGCAAGGAGGAGCCGGTGCTGCATATGAATACCTCAGATCTGTGTGTAACCTACCAACATCTTTAAACCAGATCCACCAAGGAGCACATTGAATCTATCAAAGACTCTAAGATTACTTTTCCTCCTTAATAAGATACTAATGAAGGTTAAGAATGAAATTCTACTTCATAGTAAAACAAAACAAAAAAAGAATAATTTACTCAAATATAATTTTTTGTCTGGGCACAGTGGCTCATGTCCGTAATCTTAGCACTTTGGGAGGCTGAGGTGAGCACATTGCTTGGGCCTAGGAGTTTGAGACCAGCCTGGGAAACATAGTGAAATCTTATCTCTATTAAAAAAAAAAATTAGCTAGGTGTGGTGGCACACACCTGTACTCCCAGCTACTTGGGATGCTGAGGTGGAAGGATTGCCTGAGCTCAGGAGGTTGAGGCTGCCATGAGCAGTGATTGTCATGATCATGCCACTGCACTCCAGCCTGGACAACAGAGTGAGATCCTGACTCAAAAAATAATAATGATGATAACTTTTTCTATCTATACTTCATCCCAATTTTCTAATTTTTATAGGATTGGAGGAAAACAGCCTCATCAATGCCCATGATCTCTCTGAAAACAGCTCAATTGAAACAGTCAGGCTTCTGGAATAAAAGAAGGATCTAGCTGCTGGGCGCAGTGGTGAGTACCTGTAGTAACAGTTACTCAGGAGGCTACAGCAGGAGGACTGCTTGAGCCCAGGAGTTTCATGCTATAGGTGTATCATAATTGCACCTGTGAATAGCCCCTGCACTCTAGTCTGGGTAACATAGCAAGACTCTAACTCTTAAAGCAGAAGAAACTAGCTTTCAGAGGCCTGATGTCACTTCCCAGGTCCTATTCCCTGAGCTTACCTCAGAAAGGTGCATCATGGACAGCCAAAATTTACTTCACCTTTTTTTTTTTTTTTTTTGTAACAGCCTGTCACCCAGGCTAGAGTACAGGGGCACAATCATGGCTCACTACAGCCCCAAACTCCTGGGTTCAAGTGATCCCCTGGCCTCAGCCTCGCAAGTAGCTGGGACTACAAGCATGCATAACCACGCCTGGCTAATTTTTTCTTTTTCTTGTAGAGACTGCTTTGTTGCTCAGGCTGGTCTCGAACTCCTGGTCTCAAGTGATTGTTCTGCCCTTGGCCTCCCAAAGTGCTGAGATTACAGGCATGAACCACCATGAACTTCACTTTTTGTGCAAGAGTATAAAAACAATTACTTTTAGAAATTAATTTGAAGATCCTTAAGCTTTGTTTTCCAACTTAAGAGGCATACTCAGCATATATACTTCTTTCCACCTTTGTCAAAGCTCTACTATTATTATAAAAAATATATCCTATTAAAAAACTCAACAGGATAAGCATCATAACATAAACAGGAAAGGGTGCCATCAGTAGACCCAGAAAGGTAGGAAACAAAAAAAGCATATTGACCAAGTAACCAGAGATATAAAAAAAACCCATGGGGTAAGTGTGGGTTCTCTAGGGAGTCCCAGAGAAGTATCAAATCCAGGAGTTAGTGTATGCCCATCTCCCTGGTTGTAATTAAAGAATGCAAATATACAGGGCAATAATCTGGGTAATTAATTAAAGAACTGCATTCATAAAGAGCTGGATATCCTAACTATCTCTTTACCCAAACAAACAAGACAAAACACACTGAACACAACAGTGGCTTTTATTCTTATGTCAATTGTTCTTTAAAGGAAGTGGACATTCTGACTAGAAAGCGCTCCTAACGGGTATGTTGGGGCAGCTTGGAAGAGAAGCTGTGACTGGTCTAACTTGAGATTTTAACACCAACACAGAGGGTAAAAAAAGAAAGTCAACTCTTCCCCCCAAAATCCCCAGAGGAGCACTCTACTTTATTTGGCAGTTGTTGTAGAAGGAATTGGATTCTGAACAAATGTATATTTTTATCAATTGTGGCATACCTGAAGGCCTCCTTTTCATCTGTCCACAGAAGAGTGGCCTGCCTAAGCCTATTTGCTGGCTTCTCCAGTTATGTTACTCAGTATCCTGGTGCCTATAATGGGGGCCTGTTCTGTCATGGTGTCCCTACTGAACTGGAACCTCCCTTGCTCCTCAATCCACTGCTTGTCTGAAACACACAGAACTCGTACATCCTTCTGAATGCTCCTTGGAGACTTGGATACCTTTGCAGGAGGGCTAGTCTCAAGTTGTTCAGGTTTTCCCAGCCTTCCACCATGCTCAGCCTCAATTCACTCCTCCCCATATGTCTCAAGTCTGATTAATTCTGTTATGATAAACTTTAACCCTTCTATCTCCCCTATTCCTTTCTCACCTCACAATTTCTTTTGTCTCCTACTTAATTTAAGTCATCTGTTTCAACCTAAACAAAAATTTGTCAGAAAAATATAATAGAGGTTTAAAAGCAGAGTTACTGAATACATTTCTAAATTACTATATTATGTTGTAAGAGTAATAATTTAAGCCTAATAAGAGTTAAACTCTAAGGTGAAGAAAAAATATTTTCTTTTCTTTTTACTGATTTCAGAAAACTAGCATTGAGTTTACCCTGAGATTATTGAAAGAAAATACAAGGGAAAGTAGAAAATATTATTCATAGTTCTTCCAGTATAATAATAAAGTCAAAAGAGCAGGAAGAGTTTCTTTCTTTCTTTTTTTTTTTTTGAGTTGGAGTCTCACCTGTTGCCCAGGCCGGAGTGCAGGGGCATGCTCATGGCCACTGCAGCCTCGACCTGCTCAGCTAAGGAGATCCTTCTGCCTCAGCCTTCCAAGTAGCTGGAACTATAGGCATGTGCCACCACGCTCAGCTAACTTTTTGATTTATTGTAAAGATGAGATCTCACCAAGTTGCCTGGGCTGGTCTTGAACCCATGAGCTCAGGTAATCCTCTCACCTCGGCCTCCCAAAGTGCTGGGATTATAGGCATGAGCCACCAGGCCCAGCCTAGGAAGAAATTTAAGTATAAACTGATTTCTTGACTTCCTGAAATTATGACCTTTTTCATAGTCCAAAATAAAAGGGAAAGTCTTTTAATAGACATTAGGATATTGATTACTTAAAAAAATATTAATAAAAGACTAATTTACATTTTTCTCTAGCTGAATTTAAGAAACATGGGCACAGTGGATCATGCCTGTAATCCCAGCACTTCAGGAGATGGAGGTGAGAGGACTGCCTTAACCCGGGGGTTCAAGACCAGCCCGAGCAACTTGGTGAGACCTCATCTCTACAATAAATCAAAAAATTAGTTGGGCATGGTGACACACACCTGTAGTTCCAGCTACTTGAAAGACTGAGGCAGAGGGATTGCCTAAGCCCAGCAGGTTGAGGCTGCAGTAGCCATGAACATGCCACTATATACCAGCCTGGGAAACAGAGCAACTCTAATGAAAAAAAAAAAAGAAAAAAAGAAACTTATATCATTTCACAAAAGGGCACTAATGTACCCAAACTTCTCACTAAAGGCCATAGGATTCAGTGATTCTATGGAACTTTGGTTTAGAATAGTGATGAACAGATTTACAACTTCTCATATTCAGTACCTTTTTCTTTTATTTAGGAGATCATAAAGCTGTCCGCAGTAGATTTCATAGAAGCTGATCCACACAAAGAGGTGCTTTCTGGACTGGGATACTTCTAGTTGCCTGAAGATATCTTTGGCAGCCAAAGCATACAGTCCTGGGTTCTGATGAGTTCCTATCATGGTGTAGGTCTTTCCAGCACCTGTCTGTCCATATGCAAAGCAAGTAGCATTGCCTCTGAGAGAAGAATAATTTGTATCACTATGCATATTAAGAGAAGTGTTAACCTACACATAGATTTTTAATGACAAAAGTTAGGTAGAAATATAGACTCTTTGACAAAATTCAGCTATTAATATAAACATATAATTCTTTAAGGAAAGAAGAGCTTTACATTATAAAAATAAGGTACAGGCAAAAACATTCTCAAACCAGTATGTGAGTTTTCTCACATAGCTTTTTATTTTTAAATCAATATTTTTTAATTATGATTTTGTGGGGTACAGTTAAGGGTTAGGTGTACAATTACACTTCATTCAGGCACCCTGTTGATAAGAGGTGTTTCCCCATCTCCAGACAGATATTTGCGACTGTTAATCCCATCCCCCTCCCTCCCCATAGTTTCCCAGTACCGTCAGTCATTTTCTTATAGTATTACATTGAATGTTCAAGGT